TCGCTGGAACTCCATGAAACACTGAATGCAACTCACAAACGGTCTATTGAGAACGACATCCAATTTAATGTCTCCAAATGTAAGCTGATTTCGCTACACCACCATAGTCGGTTTCCTTAGTCCCTCGGGAACGAAATACCGCCGCATGCATCAACAGAGAAGGACTTATGTGTTAAAGTCTATCTCAGCTGTTCCATGAACTGTGCCAGGGTGACAGCAATGGCACTCAAACATTCATCAAGCGTTCATCTACGCGGACATCCATTCAAGTTACTACTCCAGAAATCTCGACTGGACTATTGACATCATTCCTTCGCTTTCAGAGTGTGCGCTGTCTGGAACTCCTTACCATCTCAAATCGTTTGCGCCACAACGATTGATTCTTTCAAGGTAAAACTTGACGAATCATTGCACTCCATTACATTCCAACATCCATGAGTACACATACCACAACAGAATATAGTATATTGAATTTTATTCATCATTGTTACAGTTCAACTCATGTAAACACCTTATGGGACAAGAAAACCATCTGCCTGTACTTAATACCCATAATGAAAGTTTGACTCTGACTTTGAGATTCCGTTTTGATTGGTTCTCAACAATTCACGTTCAGTCATCGATCAACACAAGCGAAACACTCTTGTCCACAACTGACCTCAATCAACAAGGCTCATCGATGTCGCTAGAACAGAACACTTTACAGAAACCATTCATCAAATTATTGGGTAAATCGTCAAAACATTTAAATATTTATTTATCCGACAGTGGAGTTAGATTCAGTTTCCACGCTCATTTCATTGAATCAAACCACACAGTCGGAAGGACCTGATTAGGTGTGAGGCGTTGGAGGCGTTGCACTGAACAGATGACATCCCGTTGGTCAACCTCAGGTAAATTAACTCACTGGCTGCCCGAAAGTGAACATAATTTGACTGGAATATTCGTTCTTTCCAGGTGTGACTTGGTTGAAGCATTAATAATGCACGCCTTTCTTTCATATGAATGGACCCCTAATTCTAATACCTGAAAGGGGCGGTAAATACGGCAAAGATGACCATAACGCTGCTATTCCAGGAGACGAACGAATTGTACGGATGAGTGGAGAGATGGAGCATAGATTGCTGAACTGAAAACTCCAAAGGGCACAGTCAAAATCAATAAAATGATCCCGACCATAGATCAAAATTTACCGTAAATAAAATGGAATGCATTTATTTCCTTCTAAAAAGCGATTACATTTGTCAGTACTGAGCTGGTGAAAGATAAGAGAATAAACCAGATAGTAGAAACGACGATATGTTTTCCTCGGTTACATAGATCGGCCTGACAACATCGGGCTTGGAGATTTTCACGGCAGAACGACGTCAATTGACGATTACATTTGCGGTCAAACCGGCTAGAACCGCTTATATCAACCTGAAAAGATGCACAAGGGGGATCACAGAGCACAGTAGTTGAGCAGTTGTGATCAAAATGTACGTTTCCAAGAACCTCTGAACAATGTATTAATTTAGCCGCAACACACGTGACTTGAGTATCTTTTATAGAATATTTCATAATAAGTAGTATATTATTGACTGGAAGCACACGCTGGTTTTGCGGTACAAACATGGTTATTGTGACGAAAATGTATGTACAGTTCTAGCCGATTGTGATGCACTAAAATAGTTTCTTTATGATCAAACTGAATTTCATGATATTTATCCCCTTATACTAATAGTTTAGACATCAACAATAATTTACATATTGTCTACTTCAATTTATGTGATTTCTGGTCTGACCTTGGTTGCTATGATTAATTAATCTCTAAATGAAAATCTCAAATTTTATCAAGTATGAAAATGCAATATATTCTAATAGGAACGACTCAAGAATTATCCCAAATTATTTCCATAAGCCCTTGCCATCTCGGTTGTTTGTTATGAGACATTTTTTATCTGACATAATCCATTATAGAAACTCTATTGAATAACCAAATGAAATTCTTTCACAACCCGAAGAAATTGCATTAAATAAGGTTCCATAATAATAGTCTATGTTTCATATCTAACTCACTGAATTCTAGAAATAACACTTTATTCATAGTCAACCTTGAAATCAAGGTCATTTTTGTGCACAGCTATGAATGTTCATTTTGTTGTCATCATAATGAAGCAAGTAGCGCTCAAAACCAAAAGTTCTCGCCATATCAGTAAAGAGGACAGAAATAGAATTGCACAAGCACACGAGTTGGGATTTTCCATATAAAATCTTGTCCAACGTTAATAGGAGCACAATTTACAGGATAATCCAGAGGTTCATGAAAAAAAAACGTCTGGAAAAGTTTTCGCTTTTCCGTTTCCTGTTTCACGAGAGATTAGTAAATTTATTTAGTTAAGTAGTCTGGTTCACTTATAATTTGCTTTTAGACTTCAGAAAAGATTAGTGACTCTAAGTTTCAGTTCATGCAACGTCCCCCTAATAACCCGGATCTCAATGTGATTGAAAATCTATTTTCTGTTTTGAAGAGAGAGGTCAATGTGCTGCCTATACATTGGACTTTGGAGGCAGAAATGCGATACGTAATGGAGCACAAAATAGAAAATGACTTCATGTAAAAGCTGGTGAATTCCATGCCGAAGAGACTGGAAAACGTCCTAAAGAACAAAAGCAGACCAATCGACTATTCGTGTGCATAAACCTTACACCTGAATTATTACCGATGCTAATTTGGTGTAAATAAAAACTGTTCCATTATCTTAACTCATCATGGTCTAGACCAACCATTACTGACGAAATGGGAGCATCCGCTACATTCTGAACCATTCCATCTGCTGAGTATAAATGAATCAGAAAAATCACGTCTATAACGATTTACCAAGTTTTGTTTCATTAATATTTTGAAAAAAAATTACTTCATTATAAATGCTGTTGCCTATACGAACCGACAAGTGTTTCATGGGGACCCGTTGCTTCAGCTTTGATTAGACCTCTACACATATATATATACATATATATATATATATGTATATATNGTATATATGTACCACCGGCTTGAAGACAAGCATGATGCCAACGTAAAAACAATAATAACAATAACAATAAAACGGGATAGGTGAGTTGGGGTACAGAGCAAAGTGGAAGGAGGGTGAAAGAGTTAAATACGGGAAAATGGAAAATAACTGGGATAACAACATTTTTTGTGTTTCACCGTACACATTTTTATGTGTTTTTTTTGTTATTTTCACGGGGCACAAGATTTTGACAGACAGACCGTACGGAATTCGCGCCACTGACTTCTATTCAGGACCATTTCTCTCAGCGTCTCTAATCAGCGACAATCCTCATCCCTTGGGCCCCAACCTGCAAGGCGGGCTGCATCAACCGAAGCCAAAGCTGAAGCCAGCTTCTTCATGCNAGAGAACGACTATCCGCACCCAACACACGACGACAAACCTTGTCATTACTCACCCGGTGTTCCCACCAGACACGAGCAATGCTTCAGAGACATCGGTGGTCGAACACAGAACTTTGATTTGCATTTTCAACGCGGAGAGGCCAGGTCTCGCAATGGTAAGGCAAAACGTTACGAACCGCGGCGATGTACACGCTTCCCTTAAGGGACAACCAGAGGTCATATATATACATATATATATATATATATCATTAGCTTACGAGCAAGCTTAGTATCAACGCAACGACAAGGGGAACAGAAAAGTGGGGTTGCGCGGATGGAACGTGTCTATGGAGGGGGGGGATGTAGGACAGTTATTCAACCTTTTTGTCGGAAACCAATAAGTAGGAAGAATTATGTTCCAAAATTTGCATTAGAAATATAGAACAAATGGTCGAATTCGGGACAGTCCCAACCGCACTGGAATTGTGTTCACCATGTTTTTTCAGGACCTAATCCGTCACAACCTATCCAAACGATTCGTGTTCACACTCACGCTGGATCATGCTAAACATTATATTGATTCATCTTATCGCGGCTCTTACCCGACCGACTCAGATAGGGTTTGTTCATTCTCATCTAAAGCGAATTGGGTCAACCATTGAAGACAATTATCCCAGCTTTAGTACGCGTAAACACATACGGCTCTAGCTCTTCCGGAGTTTCCTTCTCACAGTCAACTATCAGTGAAATTCCAGTTGCCGAGACCTTTGTCCGAATGGCTTTGATCTTAACGATCTGCCCATTGCACTCGTTGCGTCGCAGTGTAATCATGCCAAGCCTGTTTCCTTTGCTACAATGACCTACTTTGTGTCTGAGTAAACCGGACTACAGACCATTTCAAAGTTTCAAAGTTTCATTTGAGAGTCTGACAGTTTGGTGCATCAGCATTCCTGATTCCCCGCTTTTACACACATGCATAATCATAGGAAGGTAAAGGATGAATCAATAAATGTTTCAAAGCTTTTTACCATAGCAGGGGCACGTTTCTGGTGTGAATTGTCCAAAACCGCCCATTTTTGTGTTGTGGTATCAGAAACCAGGGGAAATTGGCCCGTAGTTGCATATAGCTCTTTAAGAATTCACGATTAGGTATGGGAAACAGATGCCAACCGCCTCAATTCCGGCTAGATTACGCAATCACAAAATTGTGTAGAAAAATCCATTTTGAATCTATACGGGGGATGGTGAGTATTTACGGTGGACACGAGTTTGTGTGTGAAATCCGCCATTCTGTCACTGTCTTTTTTCCAGTTTCACAGATATGCTCACGGATTCGCTCGGATGTACGGTTAACGACTGTTCGCATCCCACTGTTTTCCACCAAATAAAATAACAATTTTCTCTATTTTCTGAAGCTCAAACAGAACGATTGCATTCACCTTATATAACAGTAACCAAATCGCAACTTCCCTCCGGTAAACTAACCAAGTGTCGATAGGCTAATCATTTATTGACTACTCATACGTAGAAAATGTCGACATAGTCAGGGCTTCGAGTCAGGTGAGCGATTGGCTTAACAAAAGAGTTCGTCTGTCCAAATCCAAGTGAGTGTATGACTTACCACACATTCCGTACAACCACCCTCAACTGTTGCTTTACTCACATCTAGACTACCACAATACTCGCAACTGTAGCATCGATAGCTGTGCAGTATATCATCCGTTTCAATCATCAACGATACATCCCCTCCGGGTTCCGGACCGTTAAGTCCGGCCATCGGCAAAATAGGCGGAAAAATCAGATTTGGTTTGGTGACCAACCACTTTTGTAGTTTATCATCCTCCGTTTTATCCACTTTTACTGGATCTTTCACATTGTCTTCCTCAAATTCGGGCTCCCACGATTCTGACCAATCGTTTGGACGGAGATCTGCATCAGTCTGGATATTGTGTATGAAGATCGCAAGAATAATAGCCAACTCTAGTCGCATGGTTTGAAATTTTTATTGAATTGTTTCAGTTGATCTAGGAGGCAATAAATTGTCAGCTGACAAAAGCAAAAGTGTCATGTGACAACATATTGATAATAATAATAATAATTGATCCAATCACCTGAGAGCTATTCCGGGAAACAATATAAAGAGGTTAATTCCTAGACCAAGCTTGTCCGCAAGCCGGTGTAGCCGTGTGTTTTTGCGGTTAAGTAGCATGTCACCCATAGCATTGATTCCTTAGTGGACTGGTTCTAAAAGAGCCGTCCAAACAAATTTACCCGGTGTTTTGTAAATGAGGTTATTGTAACGAAAATACTTTTACTGGGTACAAGTGCACGAATGGAAAGACAAGCGACCACCGGATACACATGCCTGATGAGCAGCAAGAATCACGAAACCGGTTTTGTGCTTCCAGGGAAATTTTGTCCGGTCATTCATATACTACTATTTGCTAAATATATATGTATATATATATGTCGTTTCTGCAGGTCTATCATTGAACCGTGTCCCACGGGATGTTTGAAAAACGATTTCAGCGAAAAGACGATTGCAAAAAGTGCGAGCGTTTAGTAACAAAGTCAGAAATAGGTGTGGAGAACTTTGTTATATTCATATGAGTGCGCATAGTCTAGACTTTTCTGGAATGAAAATTACGAGAGCACCAATAAAGGAAATGGTCAGATCTGACAGACGTATTCGGTCCGTTAACCCTGGTTCCCTCTCCCCCCCCCCCAAAAAAAAACGCCGGCAAATTCTCGCAGTAACGCTTGGCATCAATCCATTTCAACTTGATACCGTTGAAATTCTCGGGGAACTTTAGGTTTCATTCTGAAAAAATCGTTGGACTATAAGTAAGTAATTATTTCACTCAAATTGTTGTTTGGCAGATTTGAAGTTTATATGTCGATTGTGAAAAGTTCACTAGCAAACTGGTGGATGCCCGATGCCTCTGTAAGTTGAATAGGTAAATTCGAAAGTGAAAAATCAGTGTGTTATCTGAGTGGTCTCGTCGCTCAGCTGGTAGCGCTCGCACTTACAAAGCGTAGGCGGTGTCCGTGCGTGGGTTCGAATCTCACCGCGGCTATGGAACTTTTCACAATTGACATACAATTATTTAACTGTTTCGATACATTTCGGAGTGCTACAACGTGGTGGTGGAGTGATTAAAGTCATTAAAACAGTCATCTGAAAGTCCTGAGTTCCCATGCTACTACCGTCGTTCATTTTCCACATTTCTGTTTTTTCTCCCCAGACAGACCTTGTCAGGCCGCAGTCGCCATCCTTAAAATAGGTAATGCAGTGGTATTCTCAATAAGGAAAGAGGAATTAAAAATTGTATTATTATTATTATTAATACTATTGTCATCATCGGAAACTTAATATGAAGTATGCGTCCGTGAATGGAGATAAACACTGTTTGTGAAGAAAACTTTGGACGAGGGTTCGAAGAAACCAGCAGGTACTTCTCATTGAATAGTTCAATGCAAGCTAAGAAGAATTTCACAATAAACGCATGAGAGATTTTAATACGACAATCTGAGACAAAATGTCAAATTGCATAGGAACCCCCGGGAAGCATCTAGCTGTACCTCTGTTGCTTGTTGTAGAACAGAAATAATTGACATATCATGGCATGCTGAATATAATAATGGGAATACAAGGACGACAGTCTGACGCACTACCAAACTAGAGTCAACGGATCATAAACATTGGTTTCCGTTCGTACCGAATGGGTTTCATCGAGTAATCGCTATCACCTGCTTGCTAGTTGTCGCGATATTCTGGTGAAGAGACTAATCCAGATCGATTCAGTTGCGTTTTAGCTGACACAAGCGTCGCAGTTGATGATATCGCATATTGGCATATTTGATTCTATTTGTCTGGAATAGAATAAGGTGTGTTGTGCTGACCTCGAGCTGAACCGTTTTGGTACTTCGGTTGCATAACTGTCTCTCCAGTTTACAGATGTAAGTGACTGCATACCAACATTGAAATTTATTGATTGACCTGGTGCGCAGTAGGAGCAAATTGTTGATTACTAGCGTTCGTACACGGGTCGTGCTATTTTGGATGATGGTCCGGGATGGCACCAAAAACGTGATTAAGTAATATTCGCATTACATTATCCCCCTTCATATGGTTATGCATAATTGACCACAGGCTTTTCTGCTGACAGGTGAGGTTTGTGCCTGCATCTGTGAGCTTCGCTTTTAGGATAAACTCAGGAAAAATAACCATTGTGTCTCAGTGTATTAGAAACGAGTTAGATTGGACCATATCGAACAAAACCAGACAAAGTGTAAAGTGTTGTTACGAGATTGACAGGAACCTCATACTGCAATTTCGTTGTGTAACGACACTGTGGAAGTAGTCAAAATCTTTGTCTTCCTTGGGAGTTGCATAACAGCTGGCGGAGGTGTGTGCGAAAAAATCTCCTAATATGTGATCAAAGCTAGATTAGCTTTTACTAATCTACGGCATCTCTGGTGCCGGCGCGACATGTCCCTTTCACTAAAAGGATATATATATATATATATATCAGATATCATCCAGCGATTAAAATGTGCGTGAGCAGTCATCTACGTCAGATGAATGCAGAAAAAGCGACGTCAGGCAGCACACGAGGATAGTCCCAAAGGGGATCAGTGTGTAGCCAGTACCGTGTGTTGTGCAATGTCAGACGAACACAAATACGCACACTGTAACGTCTATCCGGCCAACGTTCTATAGTAATAACCGGAATGTCTCGACTTCGACTGATCCGATTAGCAACACGTAGCAAAAAATCCGTTAAACAACGGTTACGCGTATATGTGAATACATATTGGTGACTTACGAAATAGTCGTATTGTATTGTATTGTATTGTACTATAGATGACTTGTGCAGGCAACTATGCTTACATCTCAGCCAAAAATGTGTTCACCGTTACAATGGGATAAAAAATGGATTGAAAATTCGTATACAACAATGATAAAACTAAATGGTGTTCATCTTTGTAGATTGGGGATTAGTTTGTTACGGATCCTCGCCGTGTCAGTGAGAATACGAGCCAGATACGGAACCGTTCAGTTGCGATAAATGTTTTTATGCGTGAGGGTAAGCAGCGAAAATTGGATCGGGTTGTAGCGTGGGAACGGCAAGCACATAAATCGGGATTGAGCGGATAACTGGGGTCATTGAGTATCTTATGAGCAAAATTCTCACAGAAAGTGATAAGCAAATTACACAATTTTGTGATCAGTGTTTAAAGGAATAAGACAAACACGGTTGGAAATCACCAAACCGCGACGTAGAGTAATGAAATCCTTTTTAAGTAGTCCAGGGAAAATAACGGGTGAACAATAAAGTATGATAGGAAAAATGCATTGATAAACAAAGTAGCACACAGTTTCATGTCTGACGCAAAATTGACGAAGCTTGCATACTTGAAAAGATAAGCGACGCAGTCTACCAACACAAACAAGCACATGAGAGGACCACCGTAGATTGTCATCTATGGTGGCTCCTAGGTATTTGGTGGAATGTGTTCTGGTGACGGGTACGGAGTTGATGACCGAGGGTTCTGACGGATAATCAGATTGGGAAAGACTAAAAATCCATTCAAAGGATTTAGAAGTATTCAACCGGAGACCGGATTGATTCCAAAATGTTTGCACTTGTATTAAACTGTCGGAAAATGATTCTATGTCCGATGGGTTTGAAATAGCTTGACAACATCATCTGCATACTTAAAGGTTTCGGCTGGTGGGACTGAAGATAAGTCAATGATGAAAGTTGAAAATAAGAAGCGAGAGAGCACAGCACCCTGGAGGACTCCAGAATTGTTCACTAACGGCTTTGAAATAAAGCCGTTTGCTTGGGTTCTTTGAATCCTTCCTGTGAAATAATCTTTTAACCATGACAACAAGTTGGTGGGGTAACCGAATGACTGTAACTTTTGCAGAAGAAGAGATCGTGGAGCGGAATCAAAAGCCAAGGAATAGTCAAGGAAAACACAACGAACAGACTTTTGAGAATCAATTAAAGATTTGCAAATAAAGTACATCATTGAAGAGAGGGCATCTAAAGTGCATTTATTTGGCTTGTACGCAAACCGGAGGAGGTCATTACGAACAATAATACCAGATTGCAAGCGGGTGAGAATAGCGCGCTCTGCAAATTTAAGTCCAGAGGAGGTGATAGCGATAGGACGAAAGCATTTAGATAAAATGCTAGATGAAGAGGGTTTAGGAATGGGAACAATGGGGAACGTTCTCCAGGAATCCGGAATCGAACATGTGCTAATGGATTGATTATTAAGGACGGAGCTGGCGCCATATTTGAGCAATGACGAAGAGAGACCATCGGGGCCAACTGCATTCGTGATTTTCGTAGTTTTGAGAAGATGATAGATCTCCTCGTGGGTGACTGGGTCAATGGTAGATAGGTGATCTATGGAGTACGGAGACAGGAGATCATTCGAAGGATAAATGAATGCAGCACTGAGACTGTCCACGTCAACAGTTTTGTTTGCTGGCCGTTTCTTCTGTCCGCAAAGCAATCTGATCCCTTGCCATAACCGTCTTCCACCTCCAGCTCCCAGAATCTGCTTTGCGAATGAAGCATTCAGCCTCTTGATCTATGTCCTGATTTCCAGTGTAAGCTGTTTGACAGTGGCTGTTTGATGTATCTTGAACGCTAGTTCTTTTTGTCTTCTAAGAGCTTTGTATCGCGGAGAGCATACTCTGCCAGTGTGAATAAAAACTGTTTCCACAGGACAGCATGGATTGAAAATCGCACTAACTGTTTTTGTACAATGTTTAACAGAACAGGGAGACTGTTGAACGGAAAACCACGAAGAGATGATAGCAAGAGATTTCCTCAGGAGATGGAGTCTGTCGACTGAAAGATTCCAAATTTTCATGTTCATTTGTTTTGTTTGAATAAAAGCGGGGTGAGCCAACCGAGAGTAAACCTTTGGTCGAAGATGCAGGAGCCAGTGGTCACCAGACGAGAT